TATGTATGTATGTATGTATGTATGTATGTATGTATGTATGTATGTATACACACTTTTTGGCCTGTGACTATACACAATATACGCACCTAGTATGTGCCAAGCCAAGGCGCTAGCCGCAGTGATTGCCTTCGACGTGAAACTGCTTAAAGATCACTGGGAGGCTTGGCCGGGCAGCGAACAAGACACTGTTCTGACGGGTGAAGCGTGGCCTGACTTTCTCCTGTTCAGAATTTGGAAGCGAATCGTTGCTTTCCTTTGGCTGGGTTGAGTGTAGAGCATCCTTTCAGGCAAGCCGAGGGGAGGGAGAGATAGATAGATAGATAGATGGATAGATAGAGAATGAGTGCGTGAGAGAGAAGGAGAGAGAAAGACAGAAAGAAAGACGGCGGAGAGTGTTTCGCACAGGCCATAGTCGTCCCTTTACCTTTCCTGCGTGGAGGTGCTGCCTGAGCTCTTCAAGCCTGTTAGTCTCGACGCAGCAGCTGCTGGCCATCTGTGGCAAGTCATGTCAGGCAGGGAAAGTACTGAAAGTACTGTACTTAGAAGGCTTAATTGAACACTTGGTGGGCGAAGGTCACATTGAGCTGAGATGACCTGTGATTGGACTACCATGTGAGCGCCGCTTTTTCCGAATCCTGCTCGCAGGTGCTCATCCAGTTGTGCGCTTGGCTTTCTTGGAGTCCGTTGTGGTGCAGGAGGCGGGAGAGCATCTTTGCACTATCAGAATGCTTTATCACCTTTGACAGGAAGACATCAAGTTGCCTCTCAGTTGCTTTCCAGAAGTGTGTTAGGTGCAGATGGAGGGTCCAGCCAGTGCTGTTGCTAAATGGCAACGTGCTGGGGTTGAGCTGAGTGCAGTGGCCAGAGTCCTCATATCTCAGCGCCGCATGAGCATCACCTTCGGAAGTGCGATGCAGAAGTCATCTGAGGTAGCTGCATGCCTTGACTTCGTGTCTAGAGAAGAGGAGGCACGACGACAATTTGAGACTCTGTGATGATTGCAGCTTAGCATAGAATCACTGTGTGCTCTCTCGTCGGTTGTCAGGAGATGGAGTTCTTTCGACATGTGCCTGTTTGGGCACTTAAAGCAGTAGAGATCAAATTGACATTGCAGCGTTGTTTGGACGCCAGTAGCTTCCAGCGTTGCAATCATCTCAGGTGAGTAAGCAATTGGATTAGTGAAATATAGACTTGTTGTTATTTGATCTACTTCTCAACTTCACCTCGATTTCTAACAATTTTAGTACAAAGGTTGAATGGCATGCTGTTGTGAGGTGCCTCGACGCCCACGGACGAAGAAGCGTTGGTTGAGGAAGCGGAAGCAGGTCCTACTGGCAGGGGCCAGGAATGTTTTGCGTACAACGCCTGGCAACTCCACCAATCCTTAGAGATCTCCAGGAGTCCAGGAGTCAATCACATACGCATTGCAGAGTTTGACATTGATTGACTGTCAATCAATGTCAAACTCTGCGATGTATCAATATGTGGACTCTCTTGCATCCGGCGTTGCTAGGGGCTCGAAGCAGGCACGTGTCTCGAGCACCTCGTCGCCAGGTGTGGGAGTGGGAATGGCTTGGCGCTCAGCACTGGTTGCAGGTTTGGAGCTCCTAGGAAGCGACAAGGCTTTGACCCAAGGTGGGGAAACTCAACAGCTGTGCGCCTTGCAGGCTGGGCGTGCTTGTGTGTGCGTGTGTGTGCGCGCTTCACCCTGATTGTGCTGACAGGTTCTTCATCGGCTTTGCCAACGCGCAAGCGGCTGTCTGCGGAGGTCTGGGGAGCTTGACAGAATTGCTCAATCTATCTTTTTTTTCGCCCGCTCCCCCCCTCCCACTGATTAATGAGCAGGCGCCTACTTAATTAAGTAAGGGAGAGGTAGCTAGATGTAGCTAGTATCTTACATAAGCTACTAGCATGGACGCAGGATAGCTCACGCTTCTTCAAGGAAGCTCCCCCTGCCTGAGGGCTGGGGGGAACATTCTTGAAGAAGCGCTCGCACTAATGATTTGGTTCCTAGACTTTTTTTGGGGGAAACTTAAGAGCAACTATTCAAATCTGCCAGAGGATTTGCTTGCGGCCCCGACTGAGAAGGCTGGCAAGAGAGTGGAAGAATCGGGAACAAACCAGAGAGTCCGTTGACAATCCGGCTGTTTGGCTGTGGTGATTCCAACACCAGAGTATTCCAACGCCAGATTGAGAGCAGACTCAAATAAGATAGGATCAGCACCATTCAACTTTATGTTGACGGGGTCGGGAAATGTGCTCATACCAAGGCCAAGGAGGATGCGGCATCCTTTGCAGACCCAGCGTCCAGGACTCAGTTTGCCATGACTATTGCAAGACTAGGCATGGTTGCGGTGGTGTTTGCCTCCTCGGAATTGGCTCCATGTGCAGGGCTTTGAATGCTTTGGGCGAACAAAAAGAAAAGGAAGTTGCAGAAAGGAGAGCGAGGCAGAAACGCCAGGAGCGATTTTCCATTGCTCGCAGGGTGTCAACCCCTCTCCATTATCAAAGCTGTTGCTCTTCCTGTCTCTCCCTCTCTACCTTGTTGCATCAAAGGCATTGAGTGGAGATTGACCGTTACATTTCGGCACAGAGAACCGCAGCAAAACCAAGCCGTGCATATACCAAACCCAAAACAGACGACAATTGGATCCAATTGGCAGATGTTACTTGTTATCTACTGTACTGTATATAATTCGTATTGTCAATGCATTTACGACAATGCTGCATGCAAAAGAAAGGAAGCTCCATAATCATCACATCACAGGCAGTCTAAGCCCGCCCACGGCCAAGTCCTGACATCCAAGTTCCGCTGCTTCGTTCTCCGATGGATCATCCCAATGGACCTTTCAGCAAGCTTCACACCTTCGGTGCCCTTCTTCCTCTACGACGATCCCGTTTTGTTGTTTGGATCCTCACCCAGAAATGACATCCTTGTTGACAGATTTCCTCGACGCAAGCGCAACTGAGGATTTATGGGGAGTTGTACCATGGCTGTTTAGACGCAAGATGGTGTAAGCGCAAGCTGCAGCACTTTCGCGTGCCAGGTCACCTTGAATGATGTGCCAGTACTCATGTGCTTGGACTTTGTCAAACACAATTGTGTCAACAAAGGTCAATGAAGTGTTAAGGCATGGAACTACAAGAAAACGCAATCCACGAGCGGCGGCGGTGGATGATGCCCCAATTGGATTTGCGAGACTTGGCCGCGGCTGTGCCGGGAACAGCCGGGAGAGAGTTGTTTGGCCAGAAGCCCAAACAATTGCCACAAGATTCAGATGCCAGGATACAATTCCTCGATTGGCACTGTACATGAGTTTGCGGCATCCAAGTACTTTGTCAGAATGATGATGACGCACCCGTGGCGAACCCGTGACCCCTCTCTGGCCGAAATCTTCATCATTCCGAACCTTGGCATTTCCTTTTGGTTTTGTAATCAGGGTGGCGAGGTCACATGACAGATGTCAAGGGTGTTGTCAGTGTTTGAGTTGTGCAAGAATTAGTCGAACGGTTGGGCAGCCGAAAAGAACAGACAGTGAGATGATTTCTTCCTGTGAGGGCCGATGTCGAACCAGTCTATTTGGAGGCGAGCGGGCCATGCAGCGCTCAGCACTACCAGCAACACTTGTGGGCGTCGCTTGACGCTGTGTTCTTCAACTGCAGCTTACGCGTCCGATAATTCTTTCCATTTTCTTCAACACCTGAAGCCCCGGAAGTGCTCTGAGAAGAGAAGTGCCTTCTTCCAGTACATGTATAGGCTCCCTGCATGCTGACCACTGATATACATATATATAGGTTTTTAATGGATTTTGTATAAGAAGGGCTTAAGTAAACATATATTCGCTGGCAGCTTGCGCCACCGCCTCAATGAGCAGGTTTGAAAAGCCATACGTGCGAGTTCGTCAGGGTGCAGACCACTTTTGGATGATGTCATCAAATGATCCTGAACGAATGATCGAAAAGCATGCGCCTGCATTGGCAGAGCATTTGCGTTCCTTGACGCTTGGCGGATAGTTTTTTTTGGACAGACACGGGCCGTGCCTTCAAACTCGATGAGGGTGTCGGGCCTCAGTGCGGAACATGGGCCAAAAGCTGCCAAGGAATCATTTGCATTTTATGAGCGTTGGTGTCATTGAGCTTTTTCCTTTGCGCTCCCTCATGGCATTGCCTGTTGTTGGTGAAAGAGACAGCTTCGTGCTCAACGGCACACGAAGGCTTGGCTCCTTTTGTGCTCAATTCCTGGAAGTGGACGTGGGATTTCAGTGACAACCACCAGTGCAACAAGAACGCTACTAGAAACAAGTGCATCGCTTCTAGTAACAAGTGTCTTACTAGTAGTAACAAGGACGCTAGTAGAAACAAGTGCCTTACTACTAGGAACAATTCTTCGAAGTTTGGGAGGAAACGTGCTTGGCGATGTTCAATGCCGGTGCCCTTTGCTTGGCCCTCAACAGTGGCACCATAGCGTTATGTTCTGCAATACTTGGTGCCGTCTCTAGCCAAAGTCACTGAAGCATTTAGCAGCAGCATAAGGGTTTCAAAATCGGGTCACGAGCCTGAGATCATACTTAGATAGATAGATAGATAGATAGATAGACAGATAGATATATAGATAGATAGATAGATAATATATAACATATATAATATACATACAGTACATACAGTAGTACAGTAGTTCTTGGCCACAACATACCCAAGCTTCGAAACGGAATTTCAATTCCCTAAGTGAAACATAATGCACACCATGCCACACCCAAGGTTCATAGCTTTCCGTTCTCAAATCAGGGTTCAGCTTTTGTCTCATTTCAGGCTGGGCAGCTATATACTGTAAGTTGTTTATGAATTGCATGCCTTGAGCTTTGCATGCTGTAAGTTTGCAGGTGTGGATGCGGAGAAAGTTTTTGTTTTACCATCAGCATCTTGGGCTGAAAGCCAAGCAGCTCTGTCTTCCGACATTTGTGCCGACTCTCTGATGACATGCCGCAACATGCAGACTCTAAGGTTCTCGGGCTTCTACCAAGATGACTACTCGAGGCTACTTAGAGTGCAGGCTTGGACTTGACTGGAATGGGAAGGCGCTCCATGTTCTAAAGGCTCAACTGGTGGCATCAGTCTTTCAAAGCATTCAGTCGTACTGCTGCAGGGAGGTAGTGTTTTCGGCACATGTTGGAAGGCGCTGAAGATCCCCTCGGTTGCACGATCTTCGGACAGCGTGTGGGTAGGAGATCGCTTTGTGGAAAGCCCTGAGCTGAGGGGGCAGGTGAATCAATGAAAAGAGAAAGTGTCGTACCACCACTTCGGCGTTTGGTTGATTTCTGTGACATAGGAGGGCTTAGCATTGTGTAACTGAGGTGAGGAGCTAGCACGTGGCTTTCGGAGCAGCCGCTTTTGTTTTGCAATCGCGGGACGGAGCCTAGATTGACAACGCCCAAAGACTGGAACAGCCATGCCACCGCATGGTTCGGCCTTGGGCGGAAGCCCCATGCCATTGCGAGCCTTTTAGTGGCCCTGCGGAGTGATTGTACAATGTACAGTAGACACATGCCGAATAAAGGAGGCAAAGGTTCCAACATTTGATAGATTTTGATAGGTGTGAAAGCGCCGCTTCCTTCGCTAGCCACCTTTCGAGTTTACTTTGCATTTGATGTGCCCGGAACATTTGAGGCACAAGAGTTGTGGTTTGTTAGGAAAAGGTCGCTCGTTTGCATGGCATGCAGCTGTCGCTTTAGTGTGCTACTCACATTGGTGCCGCGGAGCAGTCTGGACACGATCGCAGGGCATGAGGAGGACATGGGGACCTCGAATGAGGCCTGGGCCGCTTGCCGCAGCCCAGGCGAGTGAAGACACCACTGAGGCCTTGCCACCTTCTTCCTGGACGACGCCTTCACATTCCCGATGGGAGTGGAATGACGAGGCTTGGCAGGAAGGCGAGTGGGGTGAAGATGGATGGACCGGCAACGCCGGAGAAGAATGGTCGGGCGATCCCGACTGGTCTGGTGAGGGGCGACGGATGGCTGGCTCACTGATGCCCAGGTCCGCCAGTTCTACACGGCTGATGTGGAGCAGACCACGGCTCTGGTGAATGGCAGGTGGTCCGGCTCGTACGACCGCCACTATGAGGGAGCCGGAGGACACTGGCGAGACGACCGAGGTTGGGAGGAACGAGAACCTGAAGGACATCACCGTGGTAAGGCATCAGAGAAGCTGGTTGTCCCGACATTCGACGGAGAGAGCACTTCGGAACAGGACTTGGGAAAGTCTGCAAGATCCTATTTGAGGAAGATTCAAGTCTGGTTGCGATGCACCCGCATGCCGGCTGACCAGAGGGCATTGGCTCTCTACAATGAGCTGAGCGGGAGAGCCTGGGTCTATGCCGAGGAGCTCGACATGGACATCTTGGCCACCGAGAATGGGGTGTCCTACTACCTCGAATGGATCCAGACTCGGTTCATGGAGGTGGAGATCACTAAAGTCTCCACGATGATGAGTGACCTGTTCCGCAAGTGCCGGCGCCGCAGTGACCAGTCGGTGAGAGACTTCAATGTCGAGTTTGAGAGATTGGTTTTGAGGCTCCATGAAGTTCAATGTGAACTACCTCCACTAGTGAAAGCCTGGTTGTACCTGGACAAGCTGAGGTTGTCGGAGACAGAAGAGTTGGCATTGCTTTCGAGTGTCAACAACAAGTTCGACGTGAAGCGGTTGCAACAAGCTGCACTCATCCAGGATAGGTCTTTGAGGAAACCTGGTGGGCCGGGATTGGCCGACAAGGCGCCTTGGAAGAGTGCAGGGAAATGGGGCGGCAACCGCCATTCGGTTCACATGACACAGAATGTGGAGGAGACCAGTGCAGACGAGTCCGACGGCATGGAAGATGGCCTGGTCTCCGAGGATGTGGCCGAGGAAGCTCACGTCGCCTATATGACCTACCAGAATGCGAAAGCAAAATACCGAGAGGCCGTGAAAGGCCGTGGTGCGGACATGGATGAGATCCGAAAACGATCTGAAGAGCGCTTGAGATTGGCAAAACAGAGGTCCTACTGTTCTGCTTGCAAGCGAAGGGGGCACTGGCACAAGGACCCGGAGTGTCCTCTCCGGGGAAAGCGGCCAGAGCAAGGCCGTGCAGAAGAAGTTCAAATGACGATGCACAGTGCCCAGGTGTGTGATGTTGTTCATGCATGCTACATGATGGCGAATGACGAGGCCGCGGACGCCGACTTCATCTCGGGTGGCCTTCTCGCCATCGTGGACACGGCATGCGCCCGAACAGTGGCAGGCTATGATTGGTTTGAAAAGTTTTGTGAAATGTGCGACCACCTTTCTTTCGAAGTGAAGACCTTCGACCATGAAGAACATTTCCGCTTTGGAGCTTCGAGGGTCTACGCGTCTCAGTTTGGCGTGATAGCTTGGTTTGCTACTCAGAAACGATGGTTTGCAGTGAGAGTGGCCATTGTTCCCTGCAAAGTGCCTCTTTTGTTTAGCCGCCCCATTTTGGCCGGCTTAGGGATGACTTACGATGTCGCTGCCCAGAAGGTGCAGTTGAATGCATTGTCGTTGGCTGATGTGCCTCTGCTGAGCAGTCCAACTGGACATCCAGCCCTGAATGTCAATGAGTTCGCCGGAAGCAAAAATCCTCCCTGGCCTGATGACGCCAAAGAGCTTTACATCCCGTCCGAGCGAGCATACATATGGGTGCACCGACTTCGACCGATTCGGACATCGTGAAACCGCTGTTTTACCCCAAGAAGTTGAGCAAAGAGGTTGAGAACATGTTGTCATCGCAAGAACGTCTTGGGGGACCTGGTTTCGTTTGCTGGTGGAAGGGCATCAAACAATCTCGGAACTTTTGGGTCGAAACCGAGCAGGAGTTCGTTCGAGTTCACATCGTTCCACGTCGGCATCTGTTTGACCCATCGACATGGAACACACGTTTGACAGGGTTGAAGGATGTTTTGCTGAAGTGCATAGGGCAGAGGCGAATCACAGAAGCTTGTCTTTGTTTAGCTGAAGGCAACCTAGTCGAGGTGCATGAAGGAGATCGTGAAGGGAACAATGAGCTCTTTTTGGATGGCCCATGGATCGGACGCAGCCGCTTTTTGAAGATCAAGCCAATCACGGAGTGCTGTCTGACCTCCACTTCCGGCTCCCCGTCCGAAGTGGTCGATGCCCGGGTCAACCTCGTCGCCATGGAACATGAAGAAAGCGCAGCTGCTCGAAGAACTGGCAGAGAGGGGAGTCAACGCCCACTCCAGCTGGACCGTGCCAGAGCTACGCTCAATCTTGGTGGAGCAACGACAATTGGAGAAGCCCGCCAAGGAGGAGGACCGCATGCGCGGCCTGACCAAGATGACCTTGGCGCAGCTGGTGGCAGAAGCAGAGAAGGAGCAGATTCCCTTGCCGGCAAAACCGACCCGAGGCCTGATGATGAGGCTCCTCCGAGATGCCCGGAACACACCGGCGAGCACGGTGGTGCCATTCGGCCGCTACAAGGGATTCATGTACCAGGAGGTGCCAGCCGGTTACTTGGATTGGGCCATGAAGGAAGTCAAAGCCAACCCGAATGCCCACGAGGACCTGGTCAGGCTGGCAACATGGGCGTCTCTGGAGATGGACCGCAGGGCAACCACCAAGGGCTATGTGAAGAAGCCGGACATGGGCAGGGACCCGGAGGCCATTGCGGTGATCTCGCCACCACCAAGCCGGAAGTCGGGGGCACCTTCAAGCTCATCCGAAGGCTCATGGGCGAGAGTCACGTACAGTTCCTCACCGGGCACTCGCAAGTCCGAGGTGATCGCACTGGACACGGACATCACCGAGGAGATCCTGGAGGACGAAGCCGAGCAGATCAGGGCATTCGAAGCCCAGATCGCTGCCCTGAAGAAGAAGCCGTTCCTGAAGAAGAAGTGATTGGCCATGGAGACCACGGAGATCTTGAGAATGGTGGGGAATCCGTGGATGAAGACTATGAGACCACCGAAGAGGCTTTTGACGATGAGGCTCACGGGAGCCGGAACCAAATTCGAAGTCACCTTGCGTATGAGAACAGTGCCAACAACAACCGGGAGATTGATCACGGCTTGACCATCTCCGATGAGAATGAGACCTCCAGTGGCACGGAGTTCGATGGTGGCAGTCCGAGATCCCGGACACCTACATCCACGGCAGAAGCTCGGGCGAGAGCTATTGAAGGTATGAGGCGGCGGAGGTTTCAAAACCGCAGCACGAAGAAGAAGCTGATGGATGGAGCCCAACACCTATTTTCCGTTATGGCGACTATGTCAGTGGCCATGGGTGGATGGGCAAAAGAGGTGATGGGGGAACCGCTGTGGGATGCCTGGGCAGTGTTGCAACCTCAGCACTACATGGTGGAGGAGGAGACGGTTGACTGCCTTGAACTCTTTGCAGGACATGCCTGCATCTCGGGGACCTTCGCAGCTAGCCGCAGGGGGGTATTAGAGCCCCGAGACATCAAGTTCAACCACGACCTCCGAGACCCACAAGTACAAGAAGACATCATCGAGGACATTTGGCGGTACAAACCCAAGATCGTTTGGGCGGCCCCGCCATGCACGCTGTGGTGCCAGTTCTCACACTTGAACTACCCGCCCCAAGAGCTCAGACGACTGAGGAAGAAAGAGCAAAAGCTGGTCGGGTTCGTGACACGGGTGTTCGAGCTTCAATCGTCGCTGGGGGGCATCATGGCGGTCGAGAACCCGAAGGGTAGTGACTTGTGGCGTGAGAAAAGGCTGTTCGAACTGATTAGACAACCAGGAGTGCAATTTGCTGAACTGGATCTATGTCAATTTGGGTTGGTGAGTTGTGCCGATGGACGACCGTTGAGAAAGCCGGTGTCCGTGCTGACGAACAATCACGTCTTTGCCTCGGAGCTGTCTCAAAAATGTGATGGGAGCCATCAACACCGAGCCATCCAAGGCCGTGACACTGCAGCTTCCGCTGGTATCCCAAAGCTTTTGGAAAGGCAGTGCTAAAAGCCTTCGACAGCGCCAAGAAGCAGAAGAAGTGGAGCACGAACTTTCCGACCTCTACGGTGGCCGGAAATCCAGCTCATGAACAAGAAGAACCCAGAGGAGCCGAAGCAATCTCCTTCAAAGGGAAGGTCAACCAGAATGTGGCCGCAGTCCTGAAGAGGATCCATCAGAACTTGGGACATCCACCTCACCGTGAACTCATTCGCCACCTACGTCTGAGTGGGGCAAGCGCTGCGGTTTTGCAAGCGGCAGAGCAAATGGTGTGCAAGACCTGCAACAAAAGCGCCAAGGCCAAGTCATCCAGGACAGCGCGCCCAGCAGTCGTTTTGGACTTCAATGAGGTGGTGGCCGCAGATGTGATCTGGCTTGACACACTGGAGACGACAGGACTGCCGGCATTGAACGTGGTTGATGTCGCTTCTACCTACCAGGTGGTGCTCCCTCTGGAGAACACGACAGCCCAACATGTGGGCGATGCCTTCATAAAAGGTTGGGTGAACTGGGCTGGAGCTCCGAAGCACCTCATCGTAGACCTTGACTCGGCCTTCAAGGGCGACTTCCTGCAGATCCTGAACGACAAGTGCACGATAGTCCGGTGTGCAGCTGGCCAAGCACACTGGCAAAATGGGATCGCAGAAAGGCACGGAGGGGCATGGAAAGAGATCTGGAAGAAACTGGTTGAAGACTATGGGATTGTCCAGGAGGAGGTCACGGAAGCGGCGGCGGCAACGTCGGACGCCAAGAACCAGCTCCGAAACAGAAGTGGATACTCACCCCGACAGTGGGTTTTCGGGACCCAAGCCCGAGAAGGAGGAGACCTGTTCGACGCGGACCATGACTTGTCTAATCTGGAGGAGATCACGGTCGACGAGAAGATGGGCCGGCGGCATGTGATAAGGATGGGAGCCAGAGCAGCTTTCTTCCAATGCCAGTCAAAGCAAGCATTGGAGAGGGCAATCGCCCACAAGGCCAGGGTGGAAGAAAAGTCCTACAGCCCAGGCGCTCTGGTGTATGCACATCGTGAGTACAAAGGAAAGAAGAGGTGGATGGGCCCCTGTACGGTTATTGGCCGGGAGGGCCAAAACTACTGGCTGGCAAGAGGTGGCAGGTGCCTGCTTTGTGCTCCAGAGCACATCCGGACAGCCCATCATGAAGAAGTGAATGAAGGCCTGCGCATCAAGATGGCCATGCGAGAGCTCCATCAACTGCTGAAAGAAGACGAAGGAGATTCATTTGATGAAGTTGAAGGTGAGCCTCCACAAGACGAAGAAGCAAGACCCAGTGTGGGGCCTGTGGAAATGGAAGTGGAGCCAGCCATCGACCCAGTCGAAGAGCGAGCCAGGGCTATACAAGCTGCAGCTCGCAAAGCCAATGTTTTGGATGATGTGCCGGTCTGCATCAAGAGGCCAAAGGTCAACCGAACCTTCATGGTGAAGAAAGCCATTTCAGCCCGTGGACAAGAGAAGCAGTTAGACAAAGACTTGCCCTGGCAGTTGATCCCTCCAGACGAAAGAGAACTCTACCGCGAGGCAGAAGAAAAACAATGGAAGGAGCACATCGACTTCCAGGCGGTCCGACCTTTATCTCTGGAGGAAAGCAACCACGTCCGAGAAACAGTCCCGGCAGAAAGGATCCTGAACAGCCGATTCCTCTACAGAGACAAGAACCGGGCTAAGAGAAGGACCAACAAAGACCTGGGGCCAAAAGCCAAAGCCCGCCTCTGCGTGGCAGGACAATGGGACCCAGACTTGGGGCGACTGGAGATGTCGACTGATGCGCCAACGGTGTCAAGACATTCAATCATTTTGGCCCTGCAAGTGGCACTGGCTAGGGGGTGGAAAGTGTCGGTTGGCGACATCAGGGCAGCATTCCTCAACGGCATCCCAGCACCTCGCAATCTGTACTTCAGACAGCCAAAACGAGGCATCCCATCGCTGGAACCTGGACAACTGGTTGAAGTCTTGAAGGGTGTGTTTGGGTTGAGCACGAGCCCAAAACTATGGTGGATGAAGTTGTCCAAGGACCTCGCCAGCTTGGAGATACAATGTGAGGAGGAAGAGCTGCGATTCGAGCAGAACCCCATCGACCCCTGCGTCTTCACGCTGAAGAACAAGAACGAAGTGAAAGGGCTGCTGCTGACCCATGTTGATGACATCATGTTGATGTGCCCCGAGAACATGTTGACCAAAGTGCAAGAGGCCATCAAGCAGAAGTTCCCAATTGATGAGTGGGAAAATGATGAGTTTGAGTACGTGGGTTGTGAATACAAGTGCAAGCCCAATGTCATCGAAATCCACCAAGAGATCTACGCCAGCAGCCGGGTCGACAAGGTCAGCGTGGGAGAAGGGCAGAACAACGAAGATGTCGCATCCCCAGAGCAAAAGGAAGAAAACAGGACCACCATCGGCTGCCTGTCATGGTTAGCAAAGCAGACAAGGCCGGACTTGCAGTTCTCAGTGTGCCAATGTCAAAGGCGCCAACAAGACCCCAAGGTGGAGGACCTGAAGAACACCAACAAGGCCGTGGACATGTGCAATAAGCACAAACACCAGGGGCTAAAGCTGCACAAGGTTGAGCCCGAAGACATGTGCATGATCACCTACCACGACGCAGCCTGGGGAAATGTGGATCCAGATGATCGCGGAGATCGAGATGAAAACTGGATCGGAGAACACAATGTGGCGTCTCAGTTGGCCAACCTGGTCATGATCGCCGACAAGAAGTGCATGACCAATGAGGGCGGCAAGTTCAGTGTCATCGACTGGAAGAGCAAGGCTTCTCAGAGAGTTTGCCGCTCGACCTTTGCTGGCGAGACAATGGCCTGCTGCGAAGGGCTCGAGAACAGCATCTTCCTTCGAAGTCTGATCCTGTCAATGATGACAGGAGAAAGGATGGTGGAGGCAGCGGCTGGAGAACACATGGACCTCCATTTGATCACCGATTGCCGGAGCCTCTATGACCATGTGCACCGTGAAGGAGTGCCAAGAGCACCAAGCGAGAAGCGCTTAGCCATCGACTTGGCCGGGCTGAGACAAGGCCTGATGGTCGAAGGACACCACCAATGGAAGAAGAAGACATTGGTGGGAGAACCATCCCCGCAGAATCCAGTGAAGCCTCCGTTGCACTGGCTGCCAACGCAACACCAGTTGGCGGATGTCCTGACGAAGAAAATGCGGCCGGATGAGTGGTGGAAGGTCTTAGAGTCTGGCTGGCTCAGTCTGCCTTTGAAAGGCATGCAGAGCGCATGAAAGAGTGGAGAGCTTTTGAAGGAGTGTGAAAGCGCCGCTTCCTTCGCTAGCCACCTTTCGAGTTTACTTTGCATTTGATGTGCCCGGAACATTTGAGGCACAAGAGTTGTGGTTTGTTAGGAAAAGGTCGCTCGTTTGCATGGCATGCAGCTGTCGCTTTAGTGTGCTACTCACAATAGGTTGATTTGTTTTGACTCGGGATTGTCGGACTCCGGCATTCAAGGAGAGGAGGCCCAACTCGGAAGTTTTACGATGCTGTGGCCAATGCTTGTATTCCGGCACCTTGGTGATCCTGTTCCACCGGTGGAAGTACTCGAGTCGACAGAGCAAACCATTGGCCGGATTGATTCGTCCATTGGTTGTTTGATTGATTCCAATTCTAATTAAATTCGTGGTAGCTTCTTGTTCCTAGTAGTAAGACCAGGAGCCCCTAGTAGCATCCTTGCTCCTACGAGGTAGTAGTCAGCGACCAGTGGCCCTTCTCATTTGCGCCCTTTCCACATCACGTGCGGCATGAAGACTATGCGGTATTTATTCCGGAGGAGCAGAAGTGCCTTCAATACGTAGCAGCTTTCGAAACCGATTCTGATGAACACCGGCTTCTCCCAAGGAGCGTTGGTTGAAGGATTTAACGGGTGTTATCCGTCAGTTAGAGGTGCGGCCTTAAAAATGTGCAGCGGAAGCCAGGAATATGCACCAGGCGAACACTGTATACATGTCTTGATGATTCTTGATGTAGCTATATAGTGGGAGTTCTGGAACCTTTGGGGAATGATTCACCTTATGCAGGGGATGCCGCTCCGTGAGCTTGCTGCGCGCTACCGAGCTTTGAGGGAGGTGGCCCGGATGAAAGGACATAGTCAGGACAGCTGAGTTTAAACTCAATCGTCAATGTCACTGGCATTTCTGTACTTGGACAAATCACAGCAGGTGGCGCCGCTATTGGTGTACGACCGCCCTGACAGTCACGCACTGGGGGCTGTGCTCCTTTGGGAGCTTCAAAAGAATTGTGGCGCTGGGGCCCCTCGTGATGAGCAAAGGTATCCAGTCCCTTGGAGTATTATTTTTGATGCGCCGCCAGTCCCACGAATCCTGTTGTTGAACCGGTTGCCCCAATTGCAGTTTGGGGAAAGCCTTGTGTGAGGTCGATGTGCCGTTGAGTCGGCCAAAGCCCAACAAGCCTGTGAACGGCACAGCAGTAGCTGCGCATTTGCTGAGCCAATCTGGACCACATGCATTAGTATGGCGAAAAGATCCAAAACTTGCAATGCGATATGTTGGTTGACGACAACCAAGCGGGGACGATGCATATCAGATCAGCGGGGACGTGGAGAGCGGAGACGACTTCAACGGCACCGGCGAGAAGTGTGACGACCATTCCCCTTGTCCCTCTCAGCCTCAGAGCCCACCAACGACATTTGCCTCTGGCACTTCGGGGCTGGCCTATGGACCAATTCATTTGTGTCTAGAATTGAATCCTGACTTTGCCCAAGGCAAAGGTGAGAAAGCTTTTGTCACTCAGTCTCCAGTCTAAACTGCAAGACCAAATGTTGGGGACTTGTAACCTCCTGTGTTGGTTGACGAAGCCTTGAAAGACAAGCATTTGCGTTGGATGATGTGACGGAAAAAGCCTTGAGGACCAAGCTTCAGCAAGAAGAGCCGGCGCTTTGTTGCAGTGGGTGGAGGACTCCGCGAACAGAGTGTTTGCGTGTGTGTACGCACTCACTTTTTGTTTCTGTTTGTTTCCTGGCAGCCGGAATCTGTTCCCGTATTCTGTATTCACTATTCACCATATGATGGGCTTTTGTGCTTTAAGTTTGTTTAATTCAACTTATCAACGTTCAGGTTGAGATTTGGCCTGGCAGGATTCAGGTGATGTCGACTTAGCGAGGATGGAGCCACATGAGGTGCCTTGGAACTGATTGAGCTGAGACACTGTTGGAGTCTGTCTCAAAAAGACGTTTGGGTCTCTGCATCTTTCATTTTAGGCGCTTCAGCTGGTTCTTAGCCTTGGCCGACATCTGGGAAGAAGCCGAAGTCTTTTGGAGCCATTTCTCCAGGACAAAAGCTGAGAATTTGCTTCTCATATGCCGGAATTGCTGCAGTACTTGTTTCCCGACGCATACTTTGCCCCTTTCAGGATGCGCTGCAAAGTCCATCCAAGTATGTCTCACACTCAGACGCAGATGTCCAGGGTGAGCTTTGGCGGCTCAAATGTTTGAGCTTTCGCAGGCAGAGCACATGATCCTAAGCGCGTCCAAAGTCTTGATCTGAGGCTGAACCCAATTTAATTCGAAGGAGATTTGCTGGACAAATTTGTTGGATGACTTGTTCATGCATCAGTTCATTTTGCATGAGTATTATATAGATAGATAAACATGAGCGACTTGGAATGACTTGGACCCAGCGTGCTCAGCCTGTTTGCCCATCCATTTCGAGATATGATTCAGCTTCTTACTCCCGAGGCGATGCGTTCACAACCTGCAAGCGTCCAGAGACCCATTCGTTTTAGGGCCATTCCTATTAGGTTGGAGGCCATCGCTAGTAGGTTGGAGGCTGGTTGTGAACGACTGGTTGTGAACTTGACACGCGCAACGAGGCATCGTGCTGGACGGATCTGGCCAACGTGTTGCTAGCACGTCTACCTGACGATGTTTGTGTGGCTTTGCTAGAAACAAACAATTGGCCCAAGTCCACCTTCTTAGTTTCCTTGACTAAATCTTTGATCAACTTTATTCAATATTTCTTAAATCACCGTGATTCTTGTGCTTCATTGCAGGCTGGTCCGAGGCTTCTCCGACAGGACTCACTGCGTCTTTGCAGGCCATTGCCATCCTTGCAATAGCGGTCCGCTGCATGGTCAAGGTAGCCATTGTCTTTGTGTGTCATGGCAGGTTCTTCCAGTACATTTGATGGCTTGCTTCTCAGAGCACAAGCTATGTTGGCACATGCAGAGCAGCCGAACTCTGATTTCATACCGAGAACTCATCGAGGCGGCGCCGAATGCACTACGCCAGGAGGGATGTTCATGCACTGCGCTGGTGTCGGTGAAAGCTCAAAATGTCAGGCCTTGCTGACCGCTGGTGAGGTCAATCCCTTTGTGGCGGCCTGATGAATCACCGCTGCACATTGCGCCATTGCAAGGAAACAGCTCCATTGATGCACTTGTGGCTTCTGAATCATTTTCTAGGCCTTTCGCCAGCTCTCTTGGCAGCAGCTGTGTGCTGTTTTACAGGTGCCACTGTTCACTGAAGTTCACTGTACAAGCTTCACTGTTTGTACAGACTCCAGGCTTGGGACACATGCCGAGTACCCATTCCTTTGGCACTGCGGCTGCTTTGGGTGGTGGCTGCCGCGTGGTGACCCAGTTGTCACTCACAGTGGTGTTTACTTGAAGCTTCAAAGGTGACATTTAAATGCACTCCGTCAGCCAAGTCTCAGATAGTACACTGTGTTATAGTTAAAGAATAACAATCATTATATATAATATATATAGTTTTAATATCCTTCCTTACCGCCTATTCTTCTGACGTGACTTGCGCTGCCTACTGTACCTGTTTAATTCTGCTTATGAAGCCTGCTATGACCGGCAGACTTTTTTGTCGTAGACGCGGCGCATGTCCGTTGATTGTCCCTTTTCCTGCGGCTTTTGGTGTAATTACAATCAAAGCAGCAAATCAGATTAAATGCCTTTGTAATGATGCACATGCTCTTTGCTAGGATCAATGTGCATGCGCCTGCATGCCCTCCACGCCCCCCTTTCAGGATCCTTATGTGGTGTGCTTCAAACCCAAACAGCTCGTCAAAGCATGCAGGCCAAGTGTGGGCGCATGTCTGCAGAATCGGCATCGATGTCAGCAATCAGTGTTGAGGCTGGCATCCGCTGAAGACCTGCAGGATGTAGAACTACCAGAAGAGGTGCGCTGTAAGAGGTGTCGAATCTGCCAGTGCATATATATATATATTATATGACTCGACCTGTATGTCCAAACCATTCAAGCAAGTTGGTCGAACTGTGTCCAGTATGTACCATGCGCCAAGACGTGTGGTGTGTGCAAGCTTCTAAGTAAGGTATCACCGGATTCCTCAAGCTTAGCCCTAGAATGGTGGGATCGATGGCTACGGCCTTGGCCCCAGTAGGCCTTAGGGCCTCGACAACTCTTGGTTTGTTTTTCAAGCCCGATGGAATGTGGGATGATGGATATGGATTCTTTTTAAGCATTCTCTTTAGTCAGGTCGGTCCTTTCCAACGCTCTCGGCTGGCCTTTCTGCACCTCGACCATGCATTGAGATATCTAGCTTTTCTTTTTCACAAAAACTATCTAAAGACACGTTGCTTTGCAGAGCTTTCGGCGTGTGTCTTGTCACGTTGAGGTCGGGAAGCCTTGCGCCAGGCCCTTGCCTGGCAACGCTTTGCCCGGCGCCGCAGGCTGCCAAATGAGGTGCGCAGGGGAACGGTGCTTGACGGAGTTGGCAGGGTAGGTGAAGCAGAGGCAACCCCTTTTCTGAGTTTTGTCAGATGGAGGGTGCACCTCAACCCTCAAGTTAAACTGCGGTTCAGGTAATATAAGGGCTGCCGCCCAGTGCCGCCGACCCCAGGAAGGGAGACAAAAGAGGTGTGGGGCGGACAGAAGGCATGGTGACGCGTGGGTGGTAGCGCAGAACACATGGGGACACCGCGGCGTGCTGCACCGGCTATGTGGAATCCCCAATGTGAGGAGGGGGCAGGAGGGGGTGCTGCATCGGCTACGTGGAGAGGAGGGGGCAGGGAGGGGGTAAGCGTTAGAGATATTAAAGGGGGTGGGGCAGACAGAGGGCATGGTGACTCCACGGTGTGCTGCATCGGCTACGTGGAACCCCCATGTGGATGTTAAGGGGCTGGAGGACGCAGGGACGGGGCCATGGCAGTGTAGACGGGGTGGAGGTAGAGGGTGCAGGCAAGAGGGATGAAGTGGGAGACACAGGAACGGAGTCCCTGTGTGGAGGTTTACTCGGGGTGGCAGTGGGACATGGTGCCAGTATAGGGTGCAGGCAAGAGATGAAGTAGGTGGTAGGGCAGGCGTGCTGCATCGGCTACGTGGAATCCCCAATGTGAGG